TTCTCTTTGGGGGATAATTGCTTCATGTGAGTAAAAGGCCTGTTGCGTAACTCTCTGTGGAGAGGCTGAAGGCCTCTTCAGTCCGCCTCGTGCATTATTAATGAAGTGGCTTTCACTGTTCGGTTTCAAAAGCAATCTCCACTCCAAGTGACCGGACTGAAATATGCATGAGTTATGTTTGTTTGTTTCTGTGTATGTTTGTTGCATTATGTTATTCGATTTTTTTTTTTTTAATCTGTCAGATTCAATTAATCTCCTCTGATTCTCAAGTTAAACACATAAACTTGCAGAGCTGATCCAATGATATGTAGTTGTAGTGAAATTTGTGTTGTCCTCACTTTGTGTGTAAAGAATTATAAACTATAATGATACTACAGCTATTATGCATATTTTATTTTATTTTTCAAAAGAGGATATTGGGCATACCTGAGGAAAAAGTGTCTATACTTTTAACTTCTGAGTGGGCATTTCCCAAGATTGTGTCTGACTGACATCTGTAGGCTGGTGTTGCTTGGGGATGCACTCCTGACCAGTGCACATCATGGAGCGTAGACATTGAAGCAACAAGCATACGTTAGTCTCAAATCGCTAGCAGAACTTAACTGTTTGTCTTTTTGTTTGCTTTGTGCTTGGAAGCTAGCCAGTTAGGCTAACTATAGCTAGTGGCAACTAAACATCAGACCGGCACATGGGGTACTTTGCAAAACATCAAGGCTGCATTAGGGGTGTGCGATATGGACAAAAAATAATATCTCAATATTTTGGGGGATTTTGACGATAACGATAATTAGATGATATTCTTTTAAATATGTGTTTTTAACAGCCTGAGTTATAGCTCATTAATTGTTTCTCATGGATGATATTAATGGAAAAATGTTCTTAACATTTCTTGCTGCTTTTTTACCTGCTCGCTTTTTTTGACTCTGGTGACGGCCTTTTGTAGCGTCAATTCCGGGTCCATTTGCAACTGTTCAGATAGGCGTTTGTCCTGCAGACTCACCACAAGCCTGTCCCTCACCATCTCATCATGTAGAGACCCGTAACCGCAATGCTCCGCCAGGCAGTGCAGTGCCGTAATCAAACTGTCGGCCGTCTCGCCCGTTTCTTGAAGCCGCTGATTAAACTTTACTCTCTCAAAGATCACAATCCTGCGATTCTCTTCTGCTTGTGTCTCCAATCCAGAAGCAATGCGGAAGCTGTCGAAGCGTTTAATCCATTTAGGCCAGTCTTCAGCCTTGAAGGTGAACTTTTCCGGCGGGAAGACTTGAAACTGTGCCATGTTGCCGCTTTGTTTAGCTAACTGTGGCTAGGCTAGGTAGCTCCGTAGACAGTCTTCCGGTACTGCGAACTTTAGCCTGACAGGCTGGGACCTATCACTACAGTTGACCCACGTCTTCCGAAGCTGCTGGAGCATCCGTGGGCGGATGTGTTGTCCCAGTGTTGTCTTGCTAATGTTTATTTAGCAGCAGGCTGACCTGCCGGGAAGGTGCCAGTGAGAGATCATGTGACCACCTAGGCGTACTGCGGCGTGCTGCTGCACGCAAGTTACGTAACTCTTGTTCAGTGAATGTGTGGGGTTTCAACCTTTCAACGTGTTTTCAGTTGTTTTTGTGAAGTCATTTGCACACTCGATAACGTAAATTTGCACATCGTTAAAACAACAATGACGCTATTATCGTTAACGATATATATTGCCCACCCCTAGGCTGCATCCCTTTTTTGGGGATAAAAAGCCAAAGATCCTGTTAATGTTAATGCAATTTGACATGTGTCTGGATTATGATTTCAAATTTCTGTGTGTATTTATTTCCTGTCAAACAAATGTTTGTTTTATAGACATGTCTAATAACTGTTTAGCAACCTTGACTGTGCATATGCGATACCTTAGGTCGATCACGTCCCTTCAGTCGTTCTCCGACCAGGTGGATTAATGACCCGACACAGTGGCCACATCTGTACCAAGTGTTGCCTGTCAATAATCAACCTGTTAATAGCCAACTGATTGATCTAAGCTGAGATTTAGCTGGGGATGGCAGTCAGACGCTGCTGTACTATATGACTGTAACGTTACAGCAGCAGCCACCGACTCAAGCCATCCATCAGTCGTAACTGTCACCAGCATCATGTAGTGATTTACCACACTGACAATGAATATTCACGTATCTTATTTGCCTTAAACCTCAGTGTGAAAGTCTCTGTTAACCTTTGACGCAATGACTTTATTCTGCATTTTCCTGTTTCTCTTTTTATGAGAGTGGGGCGCGGCCTTGGTGATGACGTGATGCTAGTCTCAGAGCCATTAAGCTCTACCAGGATCTTTTTGAGAACATGGCAGGAGAACAGCTTATTTTAATTTACTGTTGGCAAAACCACATACACAGCAACTCTCCGGCATATCGTTATTAATTTAAACAGGTTTTGTTAACAGTAGAAATTTGGAGCCGTGTTTCAACTTGCTCTGTTTTACACTGCTGTTGTCTACGTGGATTCTGGATTGTTTCCACTAAAAAGGGGGTGTGATAATAAGAGCCTACTTTGGATGAACTGTTGTTGGTCTCATGTATAGCTTCCACCTGAATAGTGGAAGCTAGTTAGCCTTGCTTCACTTGCTCCCAACACCTACTGAGTTATCGACAGCTCCCACACATTCTTGCTGCCTGCATTATTCAAAGAAGGGGGTTTAGCTAGCGATACCTGTCTCTCTTTCAGTTGTGGTGATGGTTAATGACCAGACTGTCAAAACTCACAGCAAAGAGTAAACCTTTAACTCCAGCAGTCTGTGTGTTACTCAGTTATTTGTGTCATGACATGGCGTAACATATGGTGTCACAGAGTAATGTACAGAGGGCTCAGTGCTGTCACTACAGACAAATAAATACTTGATATAAAATCTCTTCTCTACATTAAAGTCATACTGCAGGGAATTATCTTCTGATTGAATCGTGATCAGTTGGACTTAAAATCTTTTTGTTGTTGTTTTTGTTGTTTGTCTACTTTTACTTGCATGAATGGATAAGATGCAGACACTGTCCCCTCCAGCACACCCAAATGTCAGGTCATGTCCCCGCGGAGACATCTTAACATCTTTACTCTCTGACCTTTTGAACCCAAGTCATGCATTCCTCCGTCTGCCTTACAGCTCATGAGATCGGTCACTCGTGATGTTTGGCTCGTTCTACAGCCGTGCAGACAGTGAGATGGGTATTTTATAACCGCATTGTCATGTCAGAGGTCAGATGAAACTGAGACAGTTCTCAGTGCTGGACCTCATTTCAAGGGGCTGTCCGTGGAATCCTACACCGACAAGTCAACAGTTAACATGTCGTCTCCCGTGAAAGACGGTGCTGCCATGAATAGAAAATGTTGCATCATGTTTAAGGCTTTCTGGATTTCATCGATTTTTGTTGTGATATAATTGGAATTTTTTTTTAAACTGCTTTTCACTTTGACATTAAGTCTCGCCAGCTTTAATAATGCCTTTAAGATGTTGGAAAAAATTGCAGAGCAAACATGAATTTACTCTTATTTTCTGCCCATCCAGTATATGAGTGTTTGCAGTATTGATTTTCTGTATAGTAGTGAGAATCCTATTATTAGTATGTGAATATAGCTTCGTTCTGGCTTCAAAGACAACCTGAGCATACTGCCTGGGTCCTCCCATTGTTCTGCTTCATCTCACTCTCTGCTGTTTTAACCCCTGAGGCCAGTGGGATGTTCTCAGTCCCAGTGCACCACCCTCCTCCTCCACCCCTCCAACCCCCTCAGCCTAAAGTGATCATAATGCATCTCCTCTCTGCCAGTGTGGAGCGAATGTCATTGATACAACCCTTAAAACAGGATTCACATTGCATTTTGGTAACGGTGACTCTGGTTATTAATTGTTCTTGTAGCTGATGGCAGTTCATTATCAGTCCTCTCGTCGCTGGCAGGCGCAGCACTCAGCCGCTCACAGAGCAGCTTGTTATGACTGCTGTGTAAAGAGTTCTTATCTTTCTCGTTCTAGCCGCTCCGCTGCGACACCGCTGACCTTCATTATCTGCGGATGCAGTCAGAACCAGACGTCAGCGTTTAGCCCAGTTGGCAGCTCGCTCTGTTTACTTTTTCCACTTCCTATCTTCGAATCCATTCTTTCTCACGTGCTTGGAAATAACCTCCCATGCTTTTGTCGAGCTGACGTCAAAAGCAAAAAATAATGCAGCTTCACACGAGGAGCCCCAGCTATAGGAAAATGTTAGCCAGTGTTAGATACCAAACAGGGTTCCAGGAGGAGTTCAGATAAAACCTTTCTCTCCTAATATTTTCAATCCTCTGATGCAGTCTCTCACATTTCCCCCCTGAGCTGAGTAGCTATATTGGGATCAAACCCCACTCTACCATTGTTGTTTTGTTATTGTGCATTTGCAGACTCACTGAAGTCAGGTGGTGCATCTCAGTTCCTTTCATTCTTCCTTCTACTGGAGACGTAAGGAAATCTGTGATATGAGGAAGCACTTTTGTAGTAAGATCATCTGAGAGATCATCAGATTCTTATGACGTTTGTGGATAAGCTGATCTCACATGACAAACACAAAATAAAATACTGAATGTACCAAGACCCTAAAATTCCCACATGACTTGTGCATAGAAGTTAATTATCTTGTGGGAACAAGTTATTATCTTATGGGAACAAGTATTAGTATGCATTTGGAAGGGAAAGGGAATAAATCATGCACATACATCTACATACATACATGAGAAAAATGTATATGACAGATATGCATATGACCCACACAGCTGCATGAAGAGGTGTAGAATGTGATCATTAACACCTACATGTTGAATGTAAAATTGATGAGAATTACAGGTCCTTAATGACGGCAGACCAGATCTGTTTCTATCCAGTGAAGATCAAGAAATGATCCTCACTGGATAGAAACAGCGAGGATCAAGAAATGAGAAATGATAGAATATGAAACCTCTATCTTAAATGCTTCTTTGTTCCCTCCTCTTCGTATTTCCAGGATGACAACTGGGGCGAGACCACCACAGCCGTCACAGGCACATCGGAGCACAGCCTCTCTCAGGAGGACATCGTCCGCATCACCAAGGACCTGGAGGACAGCGTGGGGCTCGATTGCCGCCGCTATTTCACGCTGACCCTGGCCGTGATCCTGGGCCTGCTGGTTTTCCTGACGCCGCTGGCCTTCCTGGTGCTCCCCCACCTCCTCTGGCCGGAGAAGCTGCAGAGCTGCGGCACGGCCTGCGAGGGCCTCTTCATCTCCGTGGCCTTCAAGCTGCTCATACTGCTGCTGGCCGTCTGGGCACTCTTCTTCAGGCCGCCACGGGCTGGCCTCCCACGGGTCTTTGTGTTCCGGGCACTGCTTGCCGTGCTGGTGCTGCTCTTCGTGGTCTCCTATTGGCTGTTCTACGGAGTCAGAATACTTGACTCACAGGTGAGTTCAGCGAAGGGAATGCAGGCCTGACATATAATAGCTCTCATTGCTTGTAAGTGCACACTAACTAAAAATATACATGGAAATTCAAGTCTCCAGACGCACACACACAAACACATGTTTCCAATAGCAGTGGGAGAGGTCTCATATAGTGCAGACACATTCATATTAATGCCTCAAGGAACTCAAAACACAGATATTTGGTTTCCACAACACTGTGTGTTTACTGTGTGAGTCATAATTTAAAATCCCTGTTGGTCTCTCATTCAGAATGCATGTATGAAAACACAAAACACGCAGAGAGAAATAGGGGGTCTAGGAGCTTGCAATCCTTTGAAATATATCTAAATATTAATATGCTCTACATCTTGTCTAACATGTGTATGATCTCCTCACTTTATCCCTGCGGGAGTATTTTATGCACTTTGTCTCTGTGCACATAATTACTGCATTTGAATATAGTCTATATTTTCTGTTTTGTGTGTGTGTATACTTAAAATATGTAATTAAAAGCTACAAATGACTCCTTATAAATTCATTGTCAACAGGACGAGAACTACCAGGGCATTGTGCAGTACGCCGTGTCACTGGTGGACGCTTTGCTCTTCATCCACTACCTGGCCATTGTTCTGCTGGAACTGCGGCAGCTTCAGCCGTGTTTCTCTGTGTGCGTCACGCGCTCCACTGATGGCGAGATCAGGCACTACAACCTGGGACAGCTCAGGTGAGTTTCAACTTCTAATGAAACTTCTGGTTTCAGCTATCTATTGCAAACACGGCAGATGTGTTCAGTGATTTGTGTTAATGCTTGGTCCTGTTATAGGGGGTTAGCATTACCTATCAAGGCTCAGAAGTTTCCTAAAACAGCTGGTCACTGTAGTTTTAGCAAATGGTACTGTAACAGGAGATAACAGTGCATTTGTCTGGGACTATTTGTAGCCTTGGATTAATCTGTATTTGGTACTCTAGTGAGTAATTGGAAGGGCTGGGGCAATATGTTTACCTCTTGATTTGATACTTTCATAATACTGGTGCTTATTCAGTTTGCATTGCAATTCGATGTCACGATTAATTGTGATTTTTGTTTACTTTTTTAACAGTAGACTGTCGGAAAAGGTTGAATCATACACTTTTAAAGACTGCGTATCATGAGGCATATTTCCAAAAACAATGCACATTACGTGTCAGCCAGTCTTTCTGACTTTTATTTTAGCGGTACAAAAAAAACCAATAACTGTTTTTCTGATCTCATTTTTAACCGTTTTATTCCAGTGAAGCACTTTGTGACCTTGCTCTGTAAAAGGTGCTGTATTAAATAACCTTTACTTCCTTACTTAAATGTACATGTACAATAGAATGAGTATTTTTTTAGAATGAGTATTTTTTTCAGAAAGTAAACCTAAACTGCTACATTCAGCTATTCCTGCAGTCTTTCCCATTCGTTATTTTTTTGTGGAGACTGCCACAATATCAACATTGACCACCACTTAATGATTTATTGATTTTTCTTGTCCTTTTTTTGTGTTTAAAATGGGGAAAACTTTATTCAATCGTAGAGCTGCATGCAATGTGTTGATTCACACCGCCCCTCACTCTCTCTCTCTGTTTATAAGACCACAAATGAGACAAGAATTAGCTAACTTGTGCAGCTACCAGTCTTCACCTCACTCTCTGCCGCTAGGATACTTTCTGTCAAGAGGAGCACAGGCATAAGCCCTGGAGACAGAGCTTCAGTCGCAGCTGTAGCAACTCAAATTCAGGTGGTGCAGAGCCCAGCTCCGGGGTTCACAGGGGGCTGGGTCTAATCTGTGTGACGGCAGCAACAGAAAGTTTGTTGATCCAGTGGGGAGTTTGTGCTTGGTTGGCTGAATTGACGTCACATTGCTCAAATATTACCACAATAACTTCCACCTCCGCATTTGAATTATATCAATTCAAGCATGAAAGAAAAAAAATCAAAAAATAAATTTTAATACTTCAGTAAATCTTTTTTTTTGTCCCACCCCTAGTATTTGGGGCAGCAGGACAGTGTTTGTGCAATAGATTCAAAATAAACTACAGTGTGTGTGTTCATGGTAGTGAGGGCACATGTCATCCAGTGCAGCAGTGTGACTTATTGATGTGTCTTGTACTTAAAGCTGAAAAGACATGCAGGTGCATATTCAGATGCAGTTGTTACATATTTGGCTGTGTCTGATGACTGTAGAGCAGTCAGCAACACTGTAAGACCAAAAAAAGAGTTAATGTATGCTGTTATCATGGTGAGCAAGATAACAAAATACCCAGATGACCTCTGTGCATGTAGAGATTGAAGACAGAGGGAGTAAGAGGAAAGGCCAAAACAGGAGGTAAAGAGAGCTAAGTTGATGTGAGGGATACACGAGGAGAACGTGAGGGGATGAAAGGGAGGGAAAAGAGGACGTGTGGGCGAGATGAAGGCAGAGGGAACGATAGAAACTGGGACACCTCAAGTGAGAGAGATGGGAAAGGAAGAGGGAAGTTACTGGTTATATACTCATAAATTGGAGGAAGGAATTGATACAGGAAAGAGCAGAAAGTGAGGGATGTCCCTGAAGAAAAAGAGTGGTGATCAAGTAGAGAGAATGACTGAATGTTAAGCCAGAGATGGAAGAAAACACTGAGACAAGAAGGCGTGCAGACAAAGTGGTTGATAGGGAGAGGAAATCGTGCCAGGAGAAAAAAGGAGAGGGCGGGGAAGACTTCAGAGAGGAAACTCCTCAGAAAAGAGCTGCAGACAGAGGGCGGAGGAGGCTACAGAGGGAAGACCCAGGAGACCGAGGCAGGGAGAACGCTATGGGAGGCAGTGAAAGACAGAATAGAGAACGAGGGATTAATAGTTAATGGGAGGGGAGTGTTGAAGAATCCTAAAATGTATGTGGGAATGAAAGAAAGGAAAGGTGTGTGTGTGTGTGTGTGTGTGTGTGTGTGTGTGTGTGTGTGTGTGTGTGTGTGTGTAGTAGACCAACCTGGATTTATGACCTTACTGTCTCTCAGGAAAAACAAGAAGATCTAATTTTTAGCCAGACACAGCAGCTCTGTTGCTCCCTGGTATCAATACACAGCCTCCAGCCTCACATGTACTCCTGCTCACAGGCAGCTCATAAAACTTGATGACTTTATGGATGGCCCCGCTTTTATGACAGGATGGATGAAATATGATCCTGTGTCTGCTCTTACACAGGGGTCTGTATCTTTCTGTAGTTTTGTAGGTAGATTGTTTCATACTGAATGTGCCCTGCTCTCACAGTATTTGTCAGGACGACTGCAGCTGAACCCAACTCAGGAAAAGAAAGTCACAATAGATTCAGTTAGACTCAGCAGGGGACAATCAGTGTAATGGTGACACTAATAACTCTGGTGTCTGCTACTTGCAACAAAGCAACTGGACTGAATGTCATCTAAAGTTTGTATTTGGTCCAAAAATATCTGTGCTTTTAATCAATGTCTGAGCCCCCCAACACAGGACCACAGCTAATAAACAAAAACATCTGATTGACTGACACTTAACTGCACGATTGGCACCCTGAAAAAGTTGAGGCCAGCTCAGCTGTGATTTGTATTTCATTTGTCTTGCCCCTTGTGACAGCAACCATGTCAACTGATGTTTTTTTAGCTTTCTGGCAAAGCATTTTTCAGATGACCTGCTGCATTTATTTATTTTAAGAAGGAAAATGATTTTCTCAGCCTATTAAGGAATTTTTAGTTTAAATATGACTAAATTTATACTTTGTACATTGGAAATATGGATTTTGAATTCACGTTACTAGAATACGAGTGTTAGTGTTAGAAGAGGACATGTAGCATCACATTGATCCAGAGGTGTGGACTGGAGTCACAAATTTGATGACTTTAGACTCGACTTAAAAATATCATAACAGATTCGGGAATGGACTTGAACTTTTAACACCAGTGACTCATGACTTCAGGTGGCTTGAACTTTTTGACTTGAAAATACTTGATTTGTTTCCCCAAGCCCAAAGATTAAAAAGTATGTTAGCGAGCGGTTATGCCCGTCGGAGGCCTCCACGTGGGGAAGGCAGACAGGACGCTCAGCCAATCAATTGGTCTGAGTTTTCTTAGAACCATATGAGAATGGTATAATTATGAGGTTTTATCTCTGGTGGAATTCACTTACATTTCAGTGTGCCATCAGCTTATTAATAGCATTTTAACCTAAACAAAGAAAATTTCCAGAAAGTTGTGTGTCACTTGAATTCTCCAGATCCACCTAATTTGAACCAATCAGAGAGAAACAGAAAGATAATTTTGGGCATGTAACTATGGGGAACTTACAGGTCAAAAATTACAGATGAAGATAATTAGCTTGTTTTAACAAATAAATACAAATATTTAAAAGCCTTCACAATTTTTGTAAATTCAGTGTATTATTATTCTGCTGTTAAAATGGCATTACATTTGGTAAAAAGGGCATTTTGACTTGTTAAGGGATCGAAACTCAAAGTTTAACACTTGGGATATGAGGGAAAAGACTTGCTTGTGACCTGCAAACAATGACTTGTTCCCACCTCTGCACTGATCTCTTTGGCATGTTGTTAGCAGTGATGACTTCAGTGACATCAGTCATTTATAGTTAATTGGATCAATTATGCACTGCTCATACTGTACAGCTGAACTTTAACAGCTGGAAAGTGTATCGATATCCATATTGATTTTCTGTAAGCAATAGAGACAGGTCAGACAAGTGTGTGTGTGTGTGTGTGTCATGGTCTGGTTGGTGTGTTAGCCGGCTGCCTTGGGGGTGTTGTCCTTTGTAAGCTGTGCCATTCATCCTGCTTGGCCAGCAGCAGGCCTGGCCTCGCTCTGTTGTCCGTCTGTGACTGTAAACACACAGCTAATTAGTGCTCCCTGCAGACTGGAGTGCAGCATCTGGTCAGCCCGAAACACATGCATGAACATGCACAAACGTCGGCACGTGTGTGTGTGTGTGTTTCTGTATGTGTATGTTGCGCATGGGTAATTGTACCATATACATGTAAATGCACAAACCTGAACAATGCACCACACAGAGAAACCCAGACGTAAGTGTGTGTGTATTTTCTCAGCCAGTCTCTCATGTATCTCCGCTTCTAAGAGACGGCGGCTGCTACTCACATTCCTGTTTCTCTGGCATCCATCTTTTGCCTTATCATAATGGGGACCCAGCCTGGGCCCTGGGGCCCTGAAGGCTTGTCTCTGTCTGCCTGCTCTTTGATGCCAATCTGAGGGCTGGAGGAAGCCTTTTTTGTCCCCTTGTCAGACCAGACATGTTGAATATGAACACATTCCTTCCAGCCAGAGAGGGTGGGGGTTAAACACATTCACTGCTGGGAACTTCCCAGTTTACATTCCCTGACCGGTTGGTCCTGAGCAGCAACATTAGAGAGTGGTCAGCTACCTTGGTCTGAAGGGCAGCTGGTTTAAGAAGTGGTCTGCACTTGTTCTTGATCTCAGAGTCAGATGCTGCTTTACATACTTTATATACTTAGTGTTTTATAAGCTGTTTACACCTCTGTTTGTGTATTAGGGACATCAGGTTCGGTTAATTTTGATTTCATCAGCCTGACACCCACTAACAGGTACTGTAACTAACCGGAACATGGGTAGGCAAATGAAAAATAAATGTGAGATCTAATGCACTCGCACTGTAGTATGTCGTAGATTCAGATTTAGTTTTGACTTGCATCATTTTCTTTTTTACAGATATTTAATTAGCATTGTGGGAGGAAGCCTGAGGCCTATGATCTTTATTGCCAATGACTGCTTCTCTGTCATTGTTGTACATGTGATGAAGTACTTAAAGATCTAGTGTGTAGGATTTGATGGCATCTAGCCGTGAGGTTGCAAGTGTTTGGTTTGTCCAGTCTGGGCTACTGTAAAAACAACATGGTGGACTCAGTGTACGAAGACCCACTTTGTATGTAGATAGAAACAGCTCATTCTCAGGTAACAAAAACACAGTGATTCTTAGTTTAATTTTATTTCTAACATGAACTTCACTTGCGTACAGAGGCCAGTTCTGCTGCAAGGTTTTAATGGTCATGTCTCGTGTTTGCTCTGCTTAACAATCGATCGAAGTTGGGAAGCAGCAGGAGCTCTGACTCAGCACTTACGCAAGTGACCACTAAACAATGGTCCTGTCTGTCTGAACGCATTAATCTAAGAGAGGGCTTGAGTTAACCATGGCAGTCACTATCAGTCTCCTCGCTGCCCCTTTGGCGGAAATGAGTGCTGTCTTCAGCTTTGTTAAATGCACCCTCTGTCTCTGATGTGCTTGTTTTCCTGCAGTGGTGACACACTGTTGCTGAATTCATTCAAGTTGGTTTCCTCCTAAAAACAACACGAAACACAAATCTATTAAAATGCTGCAATATGCTTGTTATCTCTTAAACCACTGAACCGACACATAAATCAACAAACCAAAACACACAAAGCTGCCTCCAAGTGACAAAAAGATGTCAAGCTGCAAATTGGATTTGACTGTTTTGTATTCTTTTAAGTATTATTAATGAAGTCAGTCATGTGTACAACCTTCAGGTATTCACTGAAATATGTAAAACCTGTTTATCGGAGCCTTTTTGGAGACATTACATCCTTGTTTTTACCATTTTCACTCTTAAGTTCTTCCATTTTCTTAAGATGCAATGAACCCCTATAAATGAACATGAACAGAGAGCACCTATTCTCACAAGTCTTGTATTTTTAGTAAACTAATCTAAACATCTGTCTTGTAACTCTGTTAGCTGATCATGATGTTACTGTCTTGCACATGTGACTGTCACCAGATGGCAAAGCAGTAAGAATGAATGATGTTTTAATGCCTGGGGGGGGGGGGGGGGGGGTTTGGATCTGTCTGCGTTATTTCAGATGACCCATCACTTAATGTACGGTTTGTTCTGAGGAGGGAATTGAAATCACAAGAGGTCAGAAAATATCTGAAAGTGCTTTCCTCAGTGGCTCCGAGGTCCGTCTGTGATCCTCCCTTGGGATAATAGGAGGCGCATGCTAAAAGCTAGCATGTGCTGTTGTTCGTGTATATTGAGTTAACTCTCCACGTGGCCTGACTAAAGAATGACAGGACACAGTGAGGGCTCAAACACATCCACACGCAGAATGAAAAGGGCCCAGTGTTAAGCAGTAAAGTCGTGTTGTGCATCAGTTAACAGCTGTCAACATCTGCTGCGTCCCTTCAGCCAAATGCAGGTCATATAGGAACAGAGCTCTTGTGGCATCACAACAGAGTTGTAGCAGCTACTAAATCCCCCTGTGGACTGTGTGCTGCTTTAAAACTAGTGTGTTAGTTTACTCCATCAGCTGCCGGTCATACCACACCAAGTAAGGCTGTAGTAGCAAAACCTGCGAGTGTGTTGAGTTCAACAAGGGTGTATTTATGTGTGCTTATGAATTTAACTTTTCATTCATAAGAAGAATAATGTGTTATTGCATCTGTCATTATCGTATAATGTAGCTCACTGCCAGGAAAACAGCGGCACTATATTATAAAGAGACAATGATTTATGTCACATAACGTGTGAAAACACCCAGCTTGTGTACAGTAGGTTTAATAGTGCTGTGTTATGGAGGACAAGACCTGGCATGCTCTCTGATCCACAGTGTGAAGGATCTGGATTTGGGCTATGGCCGCTGTTCCTTTTTATGCTTCTCACTCCTTCTCTCGTCACCTCAAATATCAGTTCCTCTGATTCAGTGTTGACAGAATATTTTTTCTTTTTTAAGTCTCAAATCCAAATTAAATATTGTCTCATGGATAGACTTTTTAATCCAGTCACAACTTCATAAAAACAAACAGAATCATCTTAGTCTTGTGTCCAGTGAACTTTTGTCATATTTAGTCAACCTCATCCTGTCTGGGCATTTTAGTCTCATCTTAGTGTAAAAAAATAACAGTTTTTGCCTAGTTTTAGTCAAAGAAATGTGCTGACATTTTAGTCCTTTCGTCATCCAATTACATAGAACACTTCACTCAATCATTTTGAGCCAAAACCAATGATTTTGTTATCTTAGGCAAACTTATTTCACAAAAGATGTAATCTTATCATTATCTGATGAAGAACAAAGGTTGAATGGTTAAGAATGCAGCTTTGCTGAAAGAGCCTTGCGGCCAGATGATATCAATTTAAGGAATACATCCAGACATTGAACATGTTCTGATAAGCATAATTATTTTTAAACGATACAAGTTAACAGCTGGCTCGATCTTTATAACTATTATAAAACAATGACAGTTGTACAGACCTGAGCCCTGTTGGTGTCATTGTTACCTTAAAGCTACAATTAGTAACTTTTTTAACAAATATGACAGCAAAGTTGTTGTTTCTTTAATAACTGTCACTGTATCCTGACAGTAGTACATAAGGCAGATAATCTGTCATCATCAAGAATCATGGAAAACAATTTAGAGCCGAGGAGTCTCAAACGCATCTGTCAATCATGTCAATTGCTGCTTATAAACTGAGGTCAAACTTTCAAACTAGGCAGCTCTGATCAAATATGAATCAAGATTCTGTTACTACAGTGCCAATTTCTCACCTCAAATGTTTTCAGAAACATAATTAAGTGTACTGTTTAGCTGTAGTCTCGCTCACCAGACCTTTCTCAAGAAAAGAAAGGTCTGGCTGGGCCGACTCTCACTTTAAGATTGGAGAAAAAAACGCCCCGGCTGCTTGTATTTCTTTCAACCAATCACAATCGTTCTGGGCGGTGCCACAGCAACGGTGCACTTGCAAAAATATTGCCAGGGGGAAACAGGTTTTGGTGTAACACGCCCACAAAAATATCACCTACAGGACGCGAACCATGGCAGAAAAATGGCTACATCCCCGCAAGATCAAACACCACAAAAGTTGGTAAAGGACGTGTTGAAAACTGCTACACAACCGGAGGTGGTAGGGCGGGACTTCAGCGGGTGGCTCGTTCCGCCCAATGAGAGGCTGATCTTTGCAGCGAACTTCCGCCCACTCAGACTAGTTTAGCTGTAACTCAGGGGTCGCGTTAACCGGATATTCTTGGTCATTGACTGGTTTTTTACAACAATGACCGGAAAATCTTAAGGCCGTCGGTCATTTTGACCGGTTGCAATTACCACACCTGCCCACTTGGCGGCAGAGTGCACAGTCAGTGGTTTAAGTGGCTGCCGTTTTCACATCGCAGAGAAAAAGTCGAACGAATGAAAACTAAATGTCTTTGAATATCTTTATTATCATTTAAAAATGAAAATTAAAATGACCGGTAAAAATAGATTATGACCAGATTTTTACGACCCTGATGGTCAAAATGACCGGCGACAAAAAAGTCTAGCGCAGCCTCTGCTGTAACTTGAGTTTGCTCCATTTGGTGGGCAGTGCCTCCTTTTCTAAAAAAAATAATAATAATAATAATTCAAAAATTAAAAAAAAAAATAAAAATAAATAAATAAAAAAGTCAGGATATAGTGTTATAAAACAAAACTAACTGCATCATATTTGCAAAACAAACACGTAATCTGCTGTAGCCTGAGTAACTCTCAGTCCCTCTGACTGTCTGACTGTGTGCTGCCAGTGTAGTCCTGATATGGTGAGCACAACACAGGACACCAAGATGCTGCTTTGCAAATAAAAACAATATAAAAATAAGAGAGATTTTAAGAATGTTTTTATTTTTGAAACTTCATTTTAGTCTTGTATTTTATCATTAACAATATTTGCATGGCTTTGTAGTTGCTGTTTAATGACGTCAGTGCTGTCTTGTCGTCCAGTTTTTGTCATGGTAAAACAGGTCATTGACAAATGTATTTAGTTTATATACTGTTGACTTAATTAACACTGGCGACAAGGAAATGCAGAAACCTGATTAGCTGTTAACAGGAGCTCTAAATGAAATGAATGAAGTTCCAGTGAAATGTTGATCATGTTCCTCTCAGTGTTTCCATTAAAATGTCTTTCTCCATCCGTCTTCTCTTCCTGTTCCCCATGTGATGTCTTATTAAATAAACACTGTGTGGCTGACCGTCCATTTCCTTGTCTTTTCAGTAGGTTTTTATTGTCTGGCTGTGTGAAAAGTGTTCTGGCACGTCATTCATTCTGTGTTTTTGGTGTCACAACATAACAGAAGTTTTCCACAAAGGCATTAATTTAAGTATTACTGTCAGATCTTTTAGTTCTCACCTGGCGACTTCTTGTTTGACGTTCTGTCCTTCCCCCACTTTCTGTCTACAGTTTTAGTTTCTCTCTTCTTTCATGTTTTATCATTCTGTGGATGAGTTAATATGTGGGAGTTGTTTAATTGTAAAGTGTGGAAATAATTCACATTTTCCACCTGAGAGCAAAACATTTCTCTCTTCCTTTCTGCCAACCTCTTTGTTACCACTCAGCACATGATACTCGCCGTCCTCTCGAAATATGAGAAGGATTTTTTCAGCAAGTTTTTAAAGAAAGCCAAAGAGGTCTTTTGGCTAATACGTCCTTCTGTTTTCCCTCTCCTATCTGTTTGCTGTCCGTCTGTATTCAGTAACAACAGCTGCAGAATTACTGCAGAGATTTCTTAGTGTTTGGTATTACAAGTGAAAAACGTCCTGCAGCTAATTATAATGTGTGTCATGTTCTGCTCTATTTAGAGCTCAGCCTTTCACACTGGCGTAGAGCTACCTGGATTTTAACTTGAGTATTTCCCTCGGCTAAAGCTCATCTCTAATTCCTCTCCTCTCCAGCATTCAGCGGGCAGCTCTGGCCATCTTAGAGCACTACTACTGCGACTTCCCAGTCCATAACCCTGCGCTGCTTTCCGCCTCCAAGTCCCGCGCGGCCAAGCACCTGGCCGGCCTCAAGGTCTACAACGTGGATGGTGAGTTCCCAGCAGCCCCGGCTGAGGGTGAGTGGGATGGTCTTTGAACTCTTTGTTGTGTCTGTGTCAGTGCTTTGGTTTTACTGTGTGTTGTGGTGTGGTGGTCAGATTTTCCCTTCTAATAACAGAAAAATATACATGATAATTTGCACTCTGTATATCTGCTGTAACAGGTTGTTTGTTTATAATGAATAATGTAGTGTTATTAGCTTATTTGATATGTGCCTCAATACACCCTGTGGTACTCTCTCCTCTCCTTGTGTGTCTCTTTACACTGACGCTAACCCTTTAAGATGTCTTTAGAGCTAAACTGAAAGCCTACCTTTTGGACAGTAAGTAAAAGCAGTGCTGCTATTAACTAAAGCACCCTCACTGACTGCTGGTGTTCACTTCATAAAAGCTACCCTTAAATCTCTATCCACATCTGATGGCCTTGAAGCTGAGCCTTCTTTCACACTGAAGTAATGTCACTGAGTGAAACACACTCACTCACACTGTGAATCCACTCCTCTTCACTCTTTGCATGCCACGGGTTGATGAAATAAGTTCAAAGTCGTCCTTACAACAGCTGGCAAAATGTAACACAAACCCTCTATATTAAATTATCGCTCTCCCTTAAGTGTACTCAAGCTTCATGTAAGTGCACTAACTTGACTCCCACTTCGTTTTTCTTTTTTCCCTTCTGCCATTTGTCTCCCTCTTTTCTCCTGCCTCCTCTTAAATGTTAGTGGGAGACAGTCGTGGAGATGGCTGATAAATCAATAGCTATTACGCTGCTGGTCCTGTCATTTCTCTCTCGTGTCTCATCCTCCTTCATTTTCATCCTGCAGCAGCTCCTCGGGGACCTCTCTCCTTCTCTCCCTCTCTCTCTTGTCTGGAGCTTTTACTTCCCACTCCTTCTTTCTTTCTGCAGCCGCACAGACATTGTAATAAATAAGCCGAACTCAGGGACAGACAATAATCTTTCCTTGATTAAAAAGTGGTGAAGCCCTGAGCGCAAAGCGGCTGTAACACTCAATTACACTGCATTCAAATGGATTCAGGTGATTTTATGATGTCTGACAAGCTATTTGGGCTCCATATTGTTTTCTCAGCTCTAGATACTGGGATTGGAAATGAATCCCAGTGGATAAACTGTGTTTTGCAAGAAATCCTCTAAAATATGGGAGATTTAAAGTGCCTACATAAAATCAAATCAAACAAAGTGTAATGCAATATATATTTACATATGTTCTCTGACAAAACTCAATGACTTTAGTTACTTATATGTCATAATGACACAGCTAATGCATACATAAAAACAGAATACCTATAACAATTTATATTGTGTTCAGATGTGGGCAGTAATAAGGTACATTCACTCCATTACATGTACATAAGTAACTTTTTTGAGTAGATTGTACTTACAGTTTTAATGCAGCAGTCCTTTTACTCATATTGGATTTGCTGATTTATTTGCCAAATCATGTAATGTAGGAGACAGCAAGCAAAGAATGCAATTGAAACTTGTATTTACTTACTGATGTACTTAATAAAGAATAATATTAAAGTAATATTCACTTGGGAATTTAGTGATCACACGAGAGATATTCACACTGAAGAATATTATCCTAGTTTATATGTAAGAGATTTTTTGAGGTGTATATGTAGAAGATTTTCTTGGTGGACATGTCGAATTTTCAAAAAGTATATGTAGGAGATAATCTAGGTGTATATGTAGAAGATGATCTAGATGTATATGTAGATTTTCTAGGTGTATATGTAGAAGTTTTACTTGGTGTATATGTAGGGGATTATCTAGGTGTATATGTAGAATATTTACGAGGTGTATATGTAGATTTTCTAGGTCTATATGTAGAAGATTTACTAGGTGTTTATGTAGATTTTCTCGGTGTATATGTAGGAGATTATCTAGGTGTTTATGTAGATGTTTTAGATGTATAGGTAGGAGATAATCTAGGTGTATATGTAGATTTTCTAGGTGTATATGTAGGAAATAATCTAGGTGTATATGTAGATTTTCTTAGTGTATATGTAGGCAATTATCTAGGCGTATATGTAGATGTTTTAGGTGTATAGGTAGTAGATAATCTAGGTGTATATGTAGGAGATAATCTAGGTGTATATGTAGATTTTCTAGGT